GGAGGGGTTTTCTAACCAAATGGATAATTAGTGACATCACTGGAATGAACATTCTACTGATTAACTACTGAATCATGCGGTCTTCACATGGAATTTAAAAGCCCAGGTTAAGCTGGGTGAAGCGTGGCAACATATTCCAATTGGGAGACAGACTGAAAAATCAAAAATGAATGTGAGCGAGAGGGCCACACACTGCCAGGAGCCAAGCATATTTGGCAGATAACTCACAGAGTGACAGAAACACAGTTCTACATCAATTCCCAAAGCCTGGTCTCAGAGACAAGAAAAGAAATAATAAAAATAAATAGCCTCTGCTTAAGCTAACTAGTCAGTATCTTGGCTGAATCAACTTTCTACTAGTAACCAATTCAGAAATAGAATTTATTTTGTAAGATTACTCTTGATCTCTGCCCTAACCCCATCTTTATTTAAAATTCATCTTTATTTAGCAGATCTAGTTGGTAAGTAAAATGCTTATCAACAGAATAGATCACAAACATGAAATACTAATAAAATCTATTTCCCTAAAGAAAATGTATCCATGTAATATTTCTTTTATGAGATGATTCATTAGAAAATAAACCATGAATGTCTTTTTATCAAAACAATGAGACTTTTTCCTAATAAATCCCACATCTAAAACACTCCATTATTCCCTAAGTATCTGACTGAACAGTTATATCTACCATACATTAGATTTATTTACAAAAAAATAGTACTTCTCAATGTTGTCATTAAATAACCCTGTGATTGAGACTGTCTCCAACTGTAAAGGCAGAATATCAATAGTTTTAATTAGGTATTTATACTTAATAAGTAGAATTAGAAAAAAAGTCCATCATTCCCCATCCTAATTAATTATCCTTTCTATTAACCTATAATACACTCAGTATATTCTTTTCTTTTTTTTTTTAATATTCTAGGTCTACTCTTTGAATAACTTTTGAAAATATTTGTGAAGACTCTATATCCCTCACTACACTGTTTCAACAAATACCACTTATATCTATATAATTTTAATATATGAAATATATATATCTGTATTTCAACTAAAGAAAATGCACCAACTAACTATTTCATTTCAGATTTGACAATCACAAACTAGCCTGATTTCTGCATGATTACTGAATGCCTAAAATAAGCCAAGAAAATGCTCATGCCTGTATTTCACTAAAAATTTTAAGTCCATGTTTCAGGGGAATAATTGTTTATGGTCATTAACTCTGAAAACATTTATTAGCTACACAAACATCTTCCAAATTTTATAAAGAGGTAAATCTTCAACAATTTGCAAGGTAGCAAAGCTTCCCACTGGTCTCTCTATAACACAGTAACTTAATTACCTACATACAATTTCACGATACAAAACCAGAGACAGTATGTGTTCTAAGCACTAACACATTTGCACTGCTGCTCCTCCTGGCATTCTCCTTTCTAACTGCATTCCCACAAGACCCACCTGAAAGCTCTATTTCAACCAACCCCAACGACTGGTGTCCTGAGTGGATAATGCTGGGCAGCAAATCCTACAGCCTAAGTCACTGGAGAGAAGAGCAATCCTAAAGGAACTCTGTTTAGTCAGCTAGTGCCAGAACATTCTGCTTGAGAGGCTCCTCTGCAAAGGGCTGGGTGCGGGCCCTGGCTAGCTGACTTTACAGACCTGTGGCTTCCAAAGAGTGCAGTGCTGACTAAAGTTTTTACAGAACACACTCACCTTCATGTTCACGAAGGGAAAAGCCAAGATGCCTCCCTCAATGGCGTCTCTCCATTCTCCCTGCCTCATAGACACACCTTCTGCCAAATCTTCTGTACCTCTGGACTTGGCAACATGCCACAAACATAGACACCGCATTCTCTCACACACACACACAATCATACCCACATACCCAGGCAACTCTCAAGATCATCCAATAATCTTTCACATTAAAGTAAGTCACTTCACAACCCACTCAAGGTTCTTCAACAGCTCCCCAGTGCACTCAGGACAAAAATCCAAAGTCTAAAGCATCCCCTGTGCGGCCCTGTGTCACTAACTGCTCTCATCACCTCAGCTGCATTTCCAGTTCACCCCTCTCCACAATCTACCAATCCTCTACAATGAACTTTCAGCTGCTCAAATGTGTAGTGCCCTATCTAACATTCAGTCCTTCACCCATGCTATCCCCTCTACCTAAAAGAAGCACTTCTCTATTTCCATTCTCTCTTAATCTTCCTACAGGTCTAGGCTGAGCATCATCCTCCAGGCTAGCTTCCTCTATCTCTTCTTCAACTGTAGTAGGTACCCCTTCCAACACACCCTCAGTTCAGTTGCTCAGTCGTGTCTGACTCTGCGACCACATGGACTGCAGCACGCCAGGCTTCCCTGTCCATCACCAACTCCCGAAGCTTGCTCAAACTCATGTCCATCAAGTCAGTGATGCCATCCAACCATCTCATCCGCTGTTGTCCCCTTCTCCTCCTGCCTTCAATCTTTCCCAGCATCAGGGTCTTTTCCAATGAATCTAATACACCCTACACGAAGCCGAATACACTCATTGTAACTTGTGTTTCACTATTTTATGCGCCCTGCTCCCAGAGAACAGTGCCAGTGCCCCTCTTGTCTACTGTACCAGAGCCACTCAAACATTTGCTAAATACATTCTAAGTTTACTTAATGAACATACTATGAATGTAACCCATAAATAAAGGAAACATGTCCAAAGGCAGTCATGATATAATGGAATCTAGGCAGCAATTTCCTTATACTTTCGTATAAACTGCAAACTACAGGTGCGTTTAGGAAAGGTTAAAACATTATACACTAAAAAGAACACCTTTATCATAAAAATATTAGCTTTTTTCCAACTCCTGTTAGGTCTTCCTTGGTGGTTCAGTAATAAAGAATCTGTCTGCCAAAGGAGGAAACTAGGGTTCAATTCCTGGGTCAGGAAGATCCCCTGGAAAAGGAAACGGCAACCCACTCCAGCATTCTTGGCTGGGAAATCCCATGGACAGAGGAGCCTGGCAGGGTACATACAATCCATGGGGTTGCAAAAAAGTTGGACACAACTTAGTGACTAAACAACAAATAACAAATTCCTACTAGGCAAATTGTAGTTCATAAAAAGTACCATAATGAAGGTACCAAAAAAGCAGCTCTGGCTGCTTCTGGGTCAAGTCTGGTATGAGCTAACTAACTATTCCTCTCTACCACCAAGCTTGCCTTGCATTACTCAGAACCTTGCTCAGTTTCTAAGTCCTGACAGAGATCTTTTATTTAGGGTTCCACTTATAATAATGGTCCCAAGGACATAAACGTGTTGCCAGGAAATAGACCTCTGATATATCCTGGGCATTAGCCACCACTGGCAGCTACTTTCTTTGAGCCACATGTCTTCTTCTGAGTTACAATCTGAGGCTTGTGACACCAGATTTTTCCAGGGCAGCAGACTGATGTCATAAACATGATGGTACTAAGCACTCTAAAGAGCTCACCAGCTCCACCCTGAAATCTGAATGCAAAGGGAAGCATCCCATCTGTAAACAAAGCCTCAGTTTCCCCAGCTTTAGAGAAGGGTTCCCATTCAATAAGATTTTTGTGGGAATTAGACAGCCTATGAAGGTACTGAGCAGACAACACCATTATTATTTTCAAGTCAAAAAGACAGGAAGACTACAAAACCTAAGATATTTTCACATCTTCAGAACTTTTGATAATACCATAACTTATTTTTAACTAATACCCTTTCAGTAGGAAATTTCTGTGAAAGAAAAGGCAGAACGATGAGGAAATGAGAATCTTTTTTTTTTTGGTCATAACCTTCGAATATGACAAACTTCACAGTAATCTACATTAAGATCCACTTTCTAATCTCTGCACTCCCAAAAATCATAGCCTTAATTTCTACCTCAATCATCCCTAGGATCTGAAAGACAGTAAAGATACACCTTCAGCACATCTTTCCAAAATGCTCTCACAAGAAATAATCATTTCCTTACTGCCTCTATGCACCTCCAAATATACTGAATCTTTGCAAAATAAGACAAAATAGCTAAATCACAAAAGTTGGCTTTCAAGGTCTCCAGTGTCTTTCCAATAAACCTAGAGTCATGAGTTATAATGGAAGCACCTGTCGGGTAAAAGGGGTGGCAATCCTTAAAAACTCCCAAGTGTCAGAAGGAGAATTTGAACTGTAATTACAGGTGGTAAAGTTGACTTCCCACCTCATACATTTTCACTCTAACACAGGATGGCCAAGTAATAATATAGGCTGGCCAAGGTGAACATTTTTATCATTAAAAAAAGAAATGGGAGAAGAGAATTAGAGCCAATTAAGCATACTGGCTCTCACGTTTCTAAGTCAAGCTGACTTGGGTTTTTTGTTTTTTTTTTTTTTGACAAGGAAATCTTACAGATCTTCTGAAACGTGTTTTAAATAAAGGTGAGAGACCTCAAGAGTCTTGTAACTTTACCCAAGCCTGGGTTCATGGACTCAACTTTTAAAAATGGGTGACGTGTGAACAGCTTCCTAAAAGCAAATGGGGCACTAGGATATAATTTAGGAAGTGATGATGCAAGTCTCTGGGGGACAGGGAGGAGGGGAGGTGAAAAAGTCAGAGGAAATACCCTCCCGGTTCCTGGGGGCACCAACTCAAGACCAAGGAAGGGAGGAAGGGCCGGCCTCCAAAAGCCGAGAGAAGGGGGCACCCCCAGCTCCAGTCGGAGGTGCCAACGCCGCCCCCTCACCCTTCCCGCGGCCCTGCCCCCCTCACCCGTGGCCCGGGCGGCCCCTTTCTGCCCGAGCCTCGGGCAGGCGAGTCCCCGAGGGTGGCAGCGCACCCCAGGCAGGGCCTTCTCGGCCCACCGCCCCCCCGCCAACTCCCCCCCAACCTGGCGCCCCTCCCTGCAGGCCCGGCCTGGGCCCAGCCCGAGGGTTCCGGCCTCCCCGGGCCCGGAGGCCTGTCCTGGCAGCCCTGGCGCCCGCGCCCCGTCCCCTGCCCCCACCCGGCCGGGCACTCACCCCCAGAAGCCGCAGGGACAGCGAGGCGGCAGACTGGGCGCTTTGCTGCGCTCGCTCCCGGCGTCTCCCATGGTGCTCGGCGGCGGCGGCGGCGGAGCTCGGCGGCGGCAGCGGTGGCAGCGGCTGGGCCTGGGCCCCGCTCGAAGGAGGCGGCGGCGGCGTCGGGGGGCTCGGGGCGGGGGGAGGGGAAGGGAGCGGGCGGGCGCGCAGGCGGGCGCGAGTCCGGGGCTCCGAGCCGGGATTCCAGGCCGGTCAGCTGGAGGCGGGCCGCACCACTCGGCCTGAGGAGACGGGGGGTGGGGGGAGGCTGGGGAGGAGGCGCGGAGAGTAAGAGGGAGGGGAGCTGAGGAGGTGGGGCGTGCGGGTGAACCGAGGACCGCGGGGCGGGGAGGAGGGAAGACCCGGCGCCCTCGGCAGCTCCCACCGCCGCTCCCAGCCACAGCGATGTCCCGTGCGGTGGCGCTGGGAAGGACCTCAGGCCCCCCCCGCCGGCTCCGGCGTAGCAGCGGCCGCTGTGAAAGCCGCGGCCCCGCTCGCTCCGTAACACCCTCCCCTCCCCCGGAGGCTGCGCTGACCGGACAATGGCCGCTCCGCCCCCTCCCCGCCTAGCGCACCCCTCCTGAGGAGTCACACAATGGTCTCGCCCGGGGGGGTAGGGGGAGCCGCCGCCGGGGCCCAGCAGCTGATCAGCTGGGAGCCGGGCGTGCCACTTTGTTCAGGTCCTCAAAGAAAGAGGATGGGGCCGTTGGGCAGAGCCGAGACCGCGGGTCTGTCACTCGGCGGCTTTCGCATCCTTCGGGACTTTTAAGGTCTAAGGGACACTTAACCTTCCTCCTCCCCGTATGAAGGGGAAAGCACGCTGCTGAGTACTCTGGGGCACGTTGCCTCCCCCGAAACGGGAGTGGTACGACCCAAGCGAGGGGGGGCGGAGGAGCAGACTAGTTGTTTAAGGGTAAGTTGGGCCGGTCCCGGAGCGGCGACCGGGCACCGCGCATGCGCCCGGAGACCCCGTAAGCCGGCACGGGGAGGGGCTCGGAGGAGCGCTTCCAAACCCGGAAGTGGGGCTCGGTCTTCTTGGGGCCGTCGGGGTCTTCAGCTAGCCGAGAGGTGGACGGACCCTCCGCTCTTACTCCTGGGTGATGTCGGGGGGCATTTCTCAGTGAACTGCTAAACCCTGAAAAATCTGTATTCCTAGGTCTTCCACACCCAAGCTCACTCTTCCTGTTCCACCCGGAGAACTGGTATCTCTTTGGCAGCGGTAAACTTCTGGGAATGTCCCTCCTCTCCTCCGCACCAGCAATGGAGAGGGGCGAGAGTGTAGTGTCTTGGTCAGATTACGTGCTCTTCTAAGCCTATCGGTGTCCCCAGCCTTAGAGACACGAGTTCACTCCCTTTGCCTAAGCGAGGACAGCCTCTCTTACTGGAGTGGACATTTTGATTTTCGGAGGGGAGCTATGGCCAAATTAGTGATGGAAATTTGGGAAGTGACCAAAAAGTTTGAGCCACTAAAAAAACGAGTCCTTTAGCGCTCATTGTCTTTTAATCCTGAACCCATTCTGAGTTCCAGCCAATCGTGAGCAGAAGGTAATTATTGATGACTAATTTAAACAAGGAGCAAATTTCCACGAGATCTGGAGAAATGACCCAAAGCTGAGGCCCTTATGGGCGAACTTCTCAGTCCCTGGGAGGCTTCCTGTCTCTTTTTGTTGTTGTTGTTTTCTTTTCTTACAGTTTTAGCACGTTCACAGACGGTCTTGAAGCCCATCCACAGGGGGCTTGAACCCGTTTCCTTGGCACAGAGAGAAGGAGGGCTTGCCAGTTGACAACCACAAACCCTATTGTAAACAGACGTTGCTTGCTGTCCCCTCCTGCCCCTCACCAATTAAAGTTTTCTAAATAGTTACAATTATTTTAAGTTCAATGCTGCTGCTAAGTCGCTTCAGTCGTGTCCGACTCTGTGCGACCCCATAGACGGCAGCCCACCAGGCTCCACAGTCCCTGGGATTCTCCAGGCAAGAACACTGGAGTGGGTTGCCATTTCCTTCTCCAATGCATGAAAGTGAAGTCGCTCAGTCGTGTCCGACTCTTCGCGATCCCAGGGAACTGCAGCCTACCAGACTCCTCCGTCCTTGGGATTTTCCAGACAAGAGTCCTGGAGTGGGTTGCCATTGCCTTCTCCATTTAAGTTCAATAGATTTCTCTTAATGCCTGGGTTTCCAGTTGCTTTGGGAAAGCAGAAGTTTGACACCACTGAGCTCCCTCGCTCATAGCATTGGTATGAAATGCCCATTTTGTTTGTACATGCTCTGTGGACTTACTAAGGTTCTTGTTGCTTCTTCTGAGCTCTGATAATCTGAGAGAGACCTGAAAAGCAATCTTAGGGGCCCACCTACCTCCTATCTCATAAATAGCGAAGATCCCACTTAGTTTAGCATTCCTCCTAAACAGGCTCTTACTGATAAAGACAGTGATTGCAAAAATCAAACTACTTAAAGTCAAAGCACCCCCCAAGTGAAATGGTGATTTATTTTGCTTAATATTTAGTTTCAACTTTGTGGATTTTCACAAGACTTTAATAAATATTTCTGTCAAAAGCCTATAGAGTGGATGAAGTCATAAGGCACACCTAGCTCTCATTGGGCTTGTGTTTCCTTAAATCTTCACTCAAACTGACATAAAATTGCCACATTCATGAAAGATTTACAGCCTTTGAGTTTAACAAACTGAGATTAAGTGGGACTCTTGCTGTTGGCATCTTGACAACTTTCTATTGTATGTGGAAAAGAAAACCCTAAAAGCAAAAGGAAATTTTTATGTAAAACATGATTGTCATCTTACAAACTGCTTGTCTACCTGTATGTTTGCCAGTTATTCAATTTAACAAGCATTTATTAAGTACCCAGTATGTACCAGGCATTTCCTAAGGCTCTGTCCCTTCTATTCCCCTCTGCCTCTTCCTCTGTTACCCAGCACACTTCTACTGCCCCTTCATTCATTTATACCTCTATGCCTCCCATACTCAGACCAGGCAGAATTGGTCCCTCCTTCCTCTGCCCAGATAGTCCCCATTATAGGCTTAGGAAATTTATGTCTGCGTGTTCTCACAAAACCTAACTCCAAAAGGACTAGCTCTTAGAAATGGCTGTTGAAGTACCCACAACCAAGTGGGGTATTACCTAGATTAATTTTATTACCAAATACTATTGTTTTATTTCTATATATGCCTTTCTGTTTGTGCATGCTCTGTGGACTTGTGGGCTCCACCACTCTCAGTGGGACTGCGGCAAACTCAATCCATGTTTGTTGAATGAAAGAGCTAATCTGATAAAAGTCACTCTTAGTCAGGCTCTTTTGTCTGCCAGTACAGAAACCTACTGAAACTTCTTTGTGCCAAAAAAAAAATTTTTTAAGGAAATAATCTTACAGAACCCAAAGGCACGGAGCACAACAAGATCTCACGAAGGACTGGAACAAGGATTTAACTTACCAGCCTGAAGCCCAGTAGGTATTCCTTCATTATCTCTTTTTCTCCCTGGTCGAATGTTGTTCTCTCTACATAGCTGCTTCATTCTTCTTTGTATACTTGCCTTCACTGCTTCTCTGGGAACATAGTAGAACATGGCTGTCCAAGCTTACATATCCTCACTTTCAGAACATGGCTGTGCAAGCTTACGTATCTTCATTTCAAGAGCTAACAGAGATTGGGACTTCCCTGGTGGTCCAGAGGCTAAGACTCTGTGCTCTGAATTCAGGGGCCCCAGGTTCAATCTCTAGTTGGGGAACTATGTCCTGCAAGCTGCAACTAAATAATCCATATTCCTCAAAGAAGATCATAGATCCTAAGGCTGCAACTAAGACCCAGTGCAGGTAAATAATTTTTTTTTTTTTTAAGAAATTGGAAATAGCCAAAAATTTAGAACTTGCTAAGATTAATTAGTATCTATGAACCCCTGGGAAAAGGTCTTTATTGATCTAAATCATGTTAGATTGTCTATTCCTCAAACAGTCTTCTTTAGCCAGTGGAGCATAATGTAGTCAGGGCTCTTTGCTTTGTAATGCAAACATGGCTGCTAGAGGCCCATCCTTGTAGCCTACAGTTCTCAAAGAAGATCAGTTATATTCTTGGCAGACTCCAAAATGTGTCTACCACAGACCAAAACAGGAATAAATGGGCAGCCTGAAATTGAAAAGCATATAGAACAATGGACAAGTTCAAGAATTTTCCAACAAAGGAACTGCTATTTAAACTATTTCAAGCCTAAATTTAAATGGCACTCCCTCAAAGAAGCCTTCACTGATACCCAGCACCAATTAAAATTATGTTACTCCATTTTTATCTTCTGTGGCACTCTCTTCCTTTGCAGCACCGTTCACAGTTTGTAATTAAATATTTATTTGTCTCCTCTCCAAAGATCATGTCTGTTTACTGCTATATACATAATGCCCTGGGCATATTTTTTGGCATTCAATAAATATTGGTTGAATGAATACAAAAGCACAATAATTTGTTCATCAATGGGAGACTCATATATGAATTGGCATCCTAATCAGGCTATCTTGGAGAAACGTCTCCATCAACACTCAGATCACCTGGAGGCACTAAAACTCACTGAACTTTTTTGTTACATAGCAGTTGTAAGAAATAAGACCCAGTCTTCTGCTTCCTCTTACTATGTTCCTAGCTGGCTGCTAACTCCTCATTTTTAGTTCCCAAGGTTTCTTTGTGAAGAGCCCTTGAGCCAGTTCCTATAAAGTGCCCACTCAATTGGCCAAAAGCTCAGAGAAAACCTAAAAGTTCAGGATATCATCAAATTAGGGGACCAAAGTGTGGGGGGGGCGGTGGTAATTGGCAGAAGTGCTTTCGTCATAATTGTCTTGACTATTTTCTACTGTAGATTACATTCCAAATGAACCTATAATGTGATTCTTGGGAGTAGTTTGCAATCACCATTGGCCCAAAAGGAGCCATGTACATGACCTGCAGGGTTTAGGAAAGAATAATATTAATGCTTCAGCCACTCTTGAAGTACCAACCAAGGTTGTATGTGAAAGATGTGGTTCAAGGGCAGGGGCTCAGAAGGGCTTGTTGTTCAGTCACTAAGTTGTGTCCAGCTCTTTTCAACCCCGTGGACGGCAGCATACCATGCTTCCCTGTTTTTCACTATCAGAAGAGCTGCTTTCTTGGTAATACTGAGTCCAAAGACCTTGGCCCTGAAAGTCACAACCTAAAGGGAGGCACA